TAGGACAGAGGCCTATAAATTATGTAGCAGATACTAAAGCCAGGTGTCATCTCCACAAGGAGATTTAATTTTAATTTGTTTTTCTGTCCCTTATTTACCTTCTTCCTTTTGTTAATTGTTAAATAGCTGAATTGTTATATAATTCACATATCATACAATTGACCTATTTAGACTGTATCACTCATTATTTTTAGGTGTATTCACAGAGGTGTGATGCCACAACCACAATGAATTTTGGAATATTTTATCACCCTAAAAGAAAATATGGACCCTTTAGTTATCACCTCCTAAATTTGTCCATCCCACTCACCCCTCATATAGCCTTAGTCAACAAGTAACCTTTCTATCTCTATAGATTTGCCAGTTCTTGACATTTCCTATAAACGAAATCATACAGTATGTGGTCCTTTATGAATGACTTCTTTCATTTAGCAGAATGTTTTCAAGGCTCATCTATGTCGTAGCATGTGTCAGGACCTCACTTCATTGCTAAATAATAGTCCCATGTACGGATATACCACATTTTACTCATCCATTTATCAGTGGATGTTCATTTGGGTTTTTTCCATTTCTTGGCTATCATGAATAATGCTGCTATGAACATTCGGTTACGTGTTTTTGCATGACTGTATGTTTTCGTTTCTTCTAAAAATATACTCAGGAGTAGAACTGCTGGGTTATATGGTAACTATGTTTACCCTTTTGAAGAATTGCCAGATGGTTTTCCAAAGTGACTGCATGATTGTACACTCCTACCATCATTATATAAGAACTCTAATTCCTCCACACATACCAACAGTTGTTATCATATGTCTTTTTGATTCTAGCTGTCCTGCTGGGTGTGAAATGGAATCTCACTGTGATTTTGATTTGCATTTCTGTGATGCTTAATGATTCTGAGCATCTTTTCATGTGATTATTGGCCATTTGTGTTATGTTTTTTGAAGAAATGTCTCTTGCTTAATTCATTATGTCTTTTTATTTTTATTTTTTTTTTAATTTTTTTTTTTAACGTTTATTTATTTTTGAGACAGAGAGAGACAGAGCATAAACAGGGGAGGGGCAGAGAGAGAGGGAGACACAGAATCTGAAACAGGCTCCAGGCTCTGAGCTGTCAGCACAGAGCCCGATGCGGGGCTCGAACTCACGGACCGTGAGATCATGACCTGAGCCGAAGTTGGACGCTTAACCGACCGAGCCACCCAGGCGCCCCCATTATGTCTTTTTATTACTGAGTTCTTTATGTATCATTCTAAATTGTTCTTTCTCAGATATATGGTCTACAATTATTTTCTCCTATTCAATGGGTTGTTGTTTCACATTGTTAATTGTGATCTTTGAAGCACAATGTTTTAATTTTGGTGAAGTCTAACTTAACAGCTTTTTTCTTTGGTTGTCTGTGCTTTTGGTGTAATATCTAGGAAATCAAGGTTGCCAGACCAAGGTTACCAAGACTTACACCTGTGCTTTCTTCTAGGAATCTGCTGTTTTTAGTTCTTACATTTAGGTCTTTGACCCATTTTGAGTTAATTTTTGAAAATTTTATTTAGTTTGAGAGAGTGGGGGAAGGACAGGGGGAGGGAGAGAGAGGGAATCCCAAGCAGGCTCCATACTGATATCTTGGAGCCTGACGCGAGGCTCAAAGCCAGGAACTATGAAATCATGACCTGAGTTAAAATCTAGAGTCGGGTGCTTACCCAACTGAACTACCCGGGTGCCCCTTGAATTAATTTTTGAAGATGGTATGAAGTATGGGTCCAACTTTATTCTTTTGCATGTGAATATTCAGTTTTCTCAGTACTATTGGTTGAAAAGACTGATCTTTCCTCATCAGATTGTTTTTGGAACCTTTGTTGAAAATCAATTGACAATATATATGTATGGGTTTAATTCCACTGATCTATGTCTGTCCTAATGCCAGTACCACACTGTCTTGATTACTCTGGCTTTCTAGTCAGTTTTAAAATCAGTTAAGTGTGACTCCTCCAACTTTGATCTTTTTTCAACACCTGTTTTTGGCTATTCTGGGTCCCTTGAATATCCATATGAAATTTAAGATCACATTGTCAATCTCTCCAAAGATCTCAGCTGGGATTTTGATAGGCATTGCATTAAATCTGTAGATCAGTTTGGGGAGTATTTCTCTTAATACCTTAATGATATTAAGTTTTCTCGTGTATGTACATGTAAAATCTTCTCATTTATTTAGGCCTTCTTTAATTTTTTCAACAGTTTTTTGTAGTTTTCAGAGTATAAATTTTGAACTTCTTTTTAAAAGTATGTTTTTCTTTTTAAATGTATGTTACTCTTTTGATGCTATTGTAAACAAGATGGTCTTTTTAACTTAGTTTTGGATTGATGATGCAAGTGTATAGAAATACAAGTGATTTATGTATAATGATATTTTCCTGCATAATTGCCCTGCTATGACCTCCTGGTACAATGTTAGATAGAAATGGTTAGAGCAGACATTATTTTCTTGTTTATGATCTTAGGGATAAAGCATTCTGTCTTTAACCATTAAGTATGATAATAGGTATGGGCTTTTCATAAAAATGTTTTATCAGGTTGAAAAATTTCCCTTCTGTTCCCTTCTGTTCAGTGTCTTTATTGGGAATAGGTGTTTAATTTCATCATACACTTTTTTCTGAATCTTGATATGATCATGTAGCTTTTGCCCCTCCTTCTCACAAACAGTCTGTGGAAATGGCAGATTGGATACCACTATTCTCAGGCTGCAGTGTCTGAGGTGGAGTGGCCACACTATCAGTGAGGGGTTGATAATGGAAGGAATCCCTAGTTTCTCCACTTCACTTGCCAGCAATTTAGCTACTCAAATCAGAACTATGACGGTGAAAAATCCTAGCCATCTGACCTTCCAGTGCCATACTTAACTATTATGATCTGTTTCTGCTCACATCACTTTTGATTCCAGATGTGTGAATTTTCCAAATGAGGTAATTCTCCAGTTCTCTGCAGATACCAACAGGGTGTCCCACAATTTAATTCACCTCTGACACAAACTATCCAGAGTTAGTACAGATACCACAGGTTAAGGGCTCGGCCCCACCTGTACCCAATTCAGATATCCCCAGGTTACCTACACTTCCTTCTGACCTGGCTACAAATTGGGGGTTCTCATGGCTCTCTCTCCAGGTTCAGTAATTTGCTGTCATGGTTCACAGGCCTAAGGGAAATACTTTACTTACCAGTTTATTTATAAAGGATACAAATAAGCAGCCAGATGAAGAGGTTATACCTGCAAGGTCTATATAGGGCAAGGTCTCCAAGAGTCCCCATGGAGTTTGGGGATGTCTCATGCTCCTGGCATGTGGCTATGTTCACCAGTCTGGAAGCTAATCCAACCTCATTGTTCAAGAGTTTTTAGGGGTGCCTGGGGGGCTCAGTAGGTTCAACTACCTAAACCACCTCATTAGCATGAGCTTGGGTGTAATCTAAGAGCTTGTTATGAATAACAAAGGACATTCTTCTCACTCTGGAAGTTCCTGGGCTTTAGGAGCTCTGTGCCAAGAATAAAGGACAAAGACCAAATATCTTTCTTATTATGCCACAATACCATATAACTTGACTGTGAACTGGGGGAAGAGGGACCCCTGTCTTGGCAATACCCTCCCAGAACGTGGAGTGGGGCTTTTGTCATGCAGGGTGCAGTCCTTCCCCTGCCCACATCTAGCTTCCACCTCGCATTTTCATTAAAGAGCAGCTTGGCAGAACTCCTCGTGCCATCATTCTGGAAGGCAAACTTCCATGAAGTCCCCCCTTTGTTTCTGATGAGCGTTTGTGATAAATGTGATCTAGCTTTTGCCTTTACAAGCTCCATTTCCCTTCATGTAACACATTCACATACTATACCTTGGTCATCTTACAATATTATCATATAATTTTTCCATAATTTGACTAGTGATAATATTTCTTCTGTGTCATAGAGATACCATCTGCTCGACAGACCTTCTGACCAGAGAAACTGGGCATCTTTTTCTGTTCTGGGGGGTGTTTGAAAGCTGATACATGTGGGGATCCCCCAGTCTAGTGGCTGTATCCCAGTCTCACTTTATCATAAGCTATCCTACTGCCGCTACTTTTAATATACTGTGGCATATCCTGAGAACTTCCTAGATTTCTGGAGGCCTAGAACTTTCTTGCTTACTGATGAATGCTGTTCCGGAAAATTCTCCCTTAGCTTAACCTAACTTTCCTGTTTAGTCCACTCTTCCTTTAATTTGCTTTTTACTGAAGTAAAGACTTTTATTTAGAATCAAATAGAACTTGAAGGATAGGCTCACTTGGGAAGGTCCTGAGACATGACTGAAATCCTGTCCTAGTGAAGGTGAAAGAAAAATTTATTTATTTATTTATTTTTTACTCATCCCTGATTTAAATATCTAACTAATAAAGATGGTGTGGTTAGAGTCTGAGAAAACGAGAGTTGCTTCAACTAAATTCCCTAGTCTTTTAAATGTGGGAAAATACTAACTTTATCTCCCTCCTGTGATATAGAATATCTTTTCCCGATTAGCTGGACCCTTGGGAATATGCATTTTTAAAACCAAAACTATGAATTTTATCTTTCTTTTTTAAAAAATCTTTGAATTAAACTCTATTTTGTAACAAGTCTCTAGTTCTATTGTGTGGTATGTTTGACTTTAAAATGCTTTAAAGTGTACCAGATTGCCTTATATATCACATCAGGGATCTAATTGGAGTATGACTGGGAATCCAGCAGGCCAGACTTCTCTGTAGTATTACCTTTACAAACCTGATAGAGGATATCAGATATTTTATAAAAATCCAAGAAAATTTGGCTTAATTTCGACACCATCTTTGAAGTCATTATGGAAATTAAAACATTATAGATTTTTTTTTTATTTTACTTATGTTTGCTATGGTCTGTTCAGTTATCATGACTTTTCCTTCATGTTTTGAAATGCTACTGTTTTCTAGATTTTTTGAAAAATTAGATATATGTGTCATTTTTTTAGACTAAACTTAAGTGGCTCTGTGAGGAACTGAAGGAGAGAGAAAACAGAGAGAGGAGTCTGCGGCACGAGCTGATGCTGTGCAGACAACAGCTGAGGAGTATGACCGAAAACAAGGAATCTGAGCTCCAGTGTCTCTTCGAACAGATAGAAAGACAAGAGCAGCTTCTGGAAGAAATACAACAAGAGAAGAGAGGTGTGTTAGCTGTTCTTACTCTTATTTTTCTTTGTTTACATTCGTGGAATCCTAGGATTGAGGGAAAAAACAAAACAAAGCCATTTCCGTTGTCTCTACTTGGAATATTTCCAAATCCCTCTCCTTTCCTTGTCTCTGGTCTCCCTGTCTTTCTTCATTTCTGGATCCAGAAGAGGAAACTGTTCGCCCTGAGAGTTTTTCCTTCAGCTAGTACATCTCTCCTATGTACATAGCCCTGTGTCCGTGGCCATTAGGAAGTTTGCATTTGGTAAGATGTGTGTTCTTCCCTGATAAAATGCTGAAGTTTATATTTTACTTCAGTAAAATATTCATAAATTTATTCAATAAATATTTACTCTGTGCCAATTTTGTCTTGGACACTATTATAGGTGCTGAGGATACATCAGTGAATAAAGGGGAAAAAAAGTCCTCTTGTTTAGTTTACATTGTATTGAGTGGAGTGACAGAAAATAAATGTAATAAATAGGTAAATTGTTTAATATATTAGAAGGTTATAAGCACCATGGCAAAAAGAGTAGAGTAAGGGAAGGAGAGTTTGAGGCAATACTTTACAAGTTAGACAGGAACTTTGGAAAACTGCTTTTCTGTTTGGTTCTAGAAGGGATGCATCGTGACGGGAAGAAGAAAAATAGCACTGTGTATCGGAATCTTGTGGGTATCTTGTGTCAGGCTTAGGTCTTTCTTTATTGGTGAACTTCATTAATTTAAGAAAGAAACTTAATGTAGGGCCCTACTAAGAAAAACAGAACTTTGACATATGATAATCCTCTAAAATTTGTTTTGGTTTTTCATTTTAGTTATCAAGATGATGATGATGATTCTTCCTCCCCCTCCTCTTCCTCCTCTTCCTCCTCTTCCTCCTCTTCCTCCTCT